TTCAAGCTACAAATATTGTTCATTGCTGTGTAATAAAAAAAAAACTTTGAATTTCATAGGTTAAGAAACTCTGCTGCATGGACTTTATTAAATGCTTTTTAAGCTCCTGCGGGCCACACAAAACGGCTTGGCGGGCCCCATTTCACCCCCGGGCCTTGAGTTTGACACGTATGTTTTAGATGCTAGCAGAAACTTGATTTACTGCATGTAGTTGATATGACAGACATTCACTCACACATTTTACTCGAAGAACTCGCATAACTGCTAAATAATAACACACAGTTTGTCACAGTGTGAGTTTTTGCAACCCACACAGGCTACCACTGGAGGAGCTATTGGAGATATGTGGTTCCTCTGGGGCTCAAATACAGGACCCTTTCTATGTAAGGCAGATGTATGAGGCAGGTATCCTAATCACTGCGCTAGAGGTTCCCAAAATGAGGGGTGCGCCCCTCAAAATGGTTCAAAATCAAGTTTGCGTAAAAACAGTTACATTCAAAACGTGTAAAATAAACAAGTCTGAAAACAACAACAACAAAAGAAATCTCGAATTTTCTTTGCGTATATATTTACCCTTTACGAACCTCCCCCCACACTGTTATCAACCCTCCAATAGCCAATAGTATGCTGTGTACGATCCTGTCTGGGTAAACAAAGCTACCAGCGATTGTTCACAAATGCGCTTATCTCAATTTCAAAACAAGACTCCGAAGCCACCCCCGAAAAAAGAATTGGATTAAATTCGGGATGCGCTGAGGGAGCGAAAGTAGAACCGCGATAAAGGAAGGGTAGCCACGGGATCACGTAGCTGTCTTCCAAACACTCTACAGACCTTATCTGCTGGCAGGCAACCATTGCCTTCTCGACACTACTAGAATCAAACACCAAGTTAAACATTAAGCCAACACATGCTTTATCATGTGTCTTTCACACAGAACAGAAACTCAAGCTCTTGTATCTCATTCAATTTAAGGAGAAAACATATTGTCACCTTGATAGTTGGGGATCATTGCTCAACATTCTTTCGGAGGTAGGCCAGGCTAGGTTATAATTGAAATAATACAGCTCTAATACAGGGATGTCAAACTCATGTACATAATTTACCTCTAAATAACAATAAATCCACGTGTTTCCCCTATTTGTTTTAATGCAAATAAGTATACAAGTATATTAGAAAATATTCATATTTTAGTGTTTTTAGTGCTTTTATTTTTCCACTTTCAACATTCATCAAGCGAGCCGGATTAAACCCCCCTACCAGGCCGGTTTTGGCCCGTGGGCCGTATGTTTGACATCCCTGCTCTAATACCATTTATCAGTCATCAAAAAACTGCAATCTGGTGTGAGCCAATGGAGGAGTAGCATTTCAGACTGGACAAGAGATAGTTGAAAAGCTACACTAGTCAAGTTAGCTTTGAAAAAGCTAAAGGTTACTATTTGGTAGAGTAGATCACAAATTGCAATAACACTCTGGACCAAGGTCATAGTATCTGTTGGTCAATTTATGGCTCCCCGCTCAGGTCAAAATCCAACTTCAACTAGCTGGCTGTTAGCCTGCTGTTATGATCTCTCTCTAATTCTGACAGTGATCCTGAAACAATATTATGAACTGAACACTATGTGTCAGTTTCACAGTTTCAAAGGTTTGGTTTTCCTTTGGGCTCAGTGAAAACAATATTGAGCCAAGAAAACACATTAGCACATGGCTACCTCGTTGCAGTCTCTGAAACTCACACGGCCGTTCAAGGTGAGTTGAGGTTATGTCGAATTCACAAAAACAGGACAATCAGAACTGTGAACCCTTCCTCCGGCCAAAGGTCCAAGTTCTTTTATTGCCACATGACATGTGAGAGTGCTCAGTGGCCTCAGTCAGAGAACTACCCACATCTGCTGTGCTCGCGGGGTGGAAATCAGAGCCGAAAAAACAGATGGAAAGGCTACTGCGCACAGCAGACCAGTGCACGTATCCGCCCTACTATTGTGCTCCATGATTGGCTGACCATATTCCCAAATTCCTAGTTTTTTATTTCCGCCTTGGGACGAGTGAGATTATACAGGAGCGAAAACAAACTGGATAAGTGTTGGGCAAATATATTATCATCAAGTAAACATTTGCAAAGCACACTTCAGTGAAATACACCGAGGAAAATATACATTTGTTACATATACATGTTACATACTGGCTTTCTTTATATATAAAATTTCTGATAGGGGGGGTTAGGTTACCGTAATTTCCGCAACTTTTTTTCACACACTTTGAACCGCGCGGCTGCAATAACGATGCGGCTAATTTATGGATTTCTACGGGCTAACGAAGTTCACACCACTAGCAATCATTGACTTTTCTGGGGGGCTACTGCGTGTTATACTAGTAGCGTATGGGCTACTGCATGTTATACTAGTAGCGTATGTCTGTCCGTGAATGGCTGTGTGCGTACATGTGCGCGGGGCGCGCACGAAAGAGAGAGAACCTGTTTCTGTTTACCTCTGTTGCGGACGAGCGCAAAGTGAAGGGAGTTAGCCCCGGAGCTAATGTTAGCTTTGGCCCTGGAGCAGATCACTAAGTCTCCCCTGTGCATTCCAGCTATGGTCAGGGTGCCAAAGCAGGATAGAGCTAACGTGTAACCAACCGTGTTATAGGAACTGTTTGGAGAAAAAGTATTTGTAGTATTTGTCCCTGTATGTGAACCAATGAGGGACTGGTGTACCCTGCCCTCCCCCAAACCAAGGATTTGCTCTAGACAAAAAACAAAACAAAAAACTTGACACACATGTTAGTTCATTATTTGAGTCATCGCACTATTATTTATTGGGATATAAAAATGCTTCTTTTGCCAAATATTGCGATTTGAATAAAAAAGTGAATTAAGCAAAGCTCAGATAGCTGGTTTTAACGACACCATAGAGCCAGTTTTTACAGTTTTTATCACACAGGGCCCAGTAAGTGCAGTTCGAACATAACCCATAGTATTCCCTAGGCTGTGGTTCGCTGATTTACTGAATCCTCCACCTGGCCCTGTCACTCTCTAGGGCTGCATTTCAGCCATTTCAGCTTCAGCCATTCCTGGGCCAACTTCACCCAGAGAGGGAAAAGGAGAGACAGAGCTCCGTTGACTGGGGTCGGAAAAGGCCCTCGTAGAGCGGGGGAGCAGTCTAGGAATTTCTCTATTGCTATATATGGACTAGCGCTGGACCAAATGAAAAAAAAAAAAAGATTTTTTACTCAAAAAGAGTCATAACTTGGGATGCTGTGATTGGTTTAGAATGTGATACTGAAACTAAATCAACCTGCAGTCCCCTTGAGTACCTCAAGGACAAATATTGCAAATTGATCAAATTCGCATTTGGAATTTGGCTGGCCTAAATATATCTTCACTTCATATTTTTGCAATGGCTGACTGCGTAGTCCGAGTATTCTAATACCAGCGAACCGCTACCTCTTAAAGTTCTCTTTAGTTTCTCTTTAGTTGATAAAATCCTATTCGGATCCCTTCCACTCGTCGCGACTACTTGATCCACGTTATAACGATCATTACTTGGATGCAGGATTAAAGCAGCACGCACGAGAAATGATGGACCCGCCTTGAGACGAAGACGACATTTGACAATTAATTATTTTGACAATTATTATTATTATAATTTTTTTTTTTAGCACACACAATCATAAATTAATCCTGCATCGTTACTTGGATGCAGGATTAAAGCAGCACACACGAGAAATGATGGACCCGCCTTGAGACGAAGACGACATTTGACAATTACATATTTTGACAATTATTATTATTATAATTTTTTTTTTTAATTTATGAAATCATAATTTAATTCTGCATCATTACTTGGATGCAGGATTAAAGCAGCACGCACGAGAAATGATGAGACGAAGACGACATTTGACAATTAATTATTTTGACAATTATTATTATTATTTTTTTTTTAATTTATAAATTACAGTGCCTTGATTTTATTGAGGTTTAGTTCACAGTCATAGCCATAAATGCACCGGTACTAATAATTGGCATAATTTCTTTGTTTTTTTGGGGGGGTTTTGGCCTTGGTTTCCTCATTTTCGGTTTTTGGTTTCAGCCAAGAATTTCTTTTTCGGCCCATCCCTACTACGTTATTAAATAGCGAATTTGAAACATACTCATTAGAATGTGTATGTCTTTGTGCTACCAGTTCACTCAGCCTCTGTCGTTTTCTATCTCAAACAGGAGAGCAGGAAAAACGTTTTGTGACAGTTACTCATATGTTACTCTCAGAGACGTTTCCTCTCACTATTCTGGCTGCTTTTTTTTTCAAGTGTAGAAATCCTGAGGCAAAGGAACGGGAAGAAAACCCTAACCCTAGCTTCTATTGTTGTCACAAGAGCTGGATACTTTAAGCTCCAAATATAGTCTCTCTCTCTCACTCTCTCTCTCTCTTCCTCTCCTGCCATGTACAAACCGGTGCCATGTTTAGACTTGAGTACCGTGCAGTACCACGTTATTATTCACTTAACTCTCCAGATGGCACACCGTTTTCTATATGGTTTATTTCCGGCCACAATTGTCCTAAAACTGACCTGGGCGGAGAGGGGGTCAGGCGCAAATAGATGGAGCGTTTGTGTGAACTTAGATAAATAACATGTAAAAGTCATGCCTAAAGGCTATAATGCTAAAAAAAAAAATCATTTTCTACACCATCTATTGGGGAAACGTGGCTATTGCAGGGGAAAAGGCAGAAATAATAATTATAATATAAATAAGTTATATAATATGGAAAAGTTTAGCGGGCCGGATTAAAAAAGCTGAACGTGCCGCATCCGGCCCCCCGGGCCTTAGTTTGCCCATGCCTGAGTTAGAGCATACAGTGGGCAGAGACTGGCTTCAATGAGTTCAAAAAACACATGTATAAAAAAAATATAAATATATATGTCTGTATGTATATATGTGTGCCTGTGTATGTATGTTCATGTCCAATCCAAATAATTCTCTCTCTAACACGCGCACGTGCGCACTTACCTGTTCGGAAGCGCAGGTCTTCGTCATTCTCCGAGCCGAACTCCCGAAGCAAGGACAGAAAGAGAATACCAAAAGCGTTCTGGATCCCAAACACGGAACCGTTGCACCACATAGCCGCCAGCATGACCACCCAACCCCAGCCACCCTCCGGGTGCACGAACTCAACCTCTTGCGCGCTCGGAGCGGCGCTCTGCTCCTGTCCGTCCACGGACACTTTAGAGTCGCCCTTGTCGTTCATTTGTTTCTCTTGCTGTTCTTCTTCTGCAGTTTCAACGGGGAGCACCTCGGCCGTGCCAGCCGGGAGATTGTTACCTTCTGTCATGGCTCAGTGTTTTAAGTGAGTGAAAGAAATGTGGATGTAGTAACAGTACTTGGTCCGAATGTTGGAGCGTGAAAAAAAAAAAAGCGGAAAGAAAGTCCCACCCAGCTCAGCTTTGCTCAATCTGCGCGTGTGTTCACCGCAGCGAGGTTCACACTAACGCTGAGGCAGTTTTTCCCCTTCTTCTTTTTTCCCCCATATAGATATATATATAGCGCTGAAGGGGCGTGTCCCTTTTACTCTGCAGCCGATTGGATGTTTTTATTTATTTATTTTTGCGTTATGACCATGCAATGAAATAGCGGGGGGGGGGTTAATTTTTTTAAAATACGTATTGGAAAACGGAAGAGTCGGTACATGTTTTAAAAAAAATTTAAAAAAATTAATATAAATATATAATATATAATATAAATAAAAAACAGGCGAGGGATTGAATGTAATGTAAGTTTAATAATTAGAAGGAATTAAAGCTAAAAAAAAAATTAACATTTGACATATTTGAAATATGTATGCCATACGGGGGCAAATAAGGAAATAAATCTAGTATTGAGTTTTAACTGGTTGTTTTGTTGATGCTGTTGCGATGATACTGGCTATTTTCACTTCACTTTTTTTTTTGCTGAAAAACATATAAATAGTGCAAGATCAGCGCGTAAACTAGACCAAAAGGGATGATCTGCTTTAGTAAATCATTGTCCTTACTGCTTCACAGGAGCAGAGGTTTCTGGGTGGAGGGGGCAATAACCAAGTTAAGTGTAAATCATGTGTCAAACTCAAAGAGCACAGGCCATACATGTCACACATAAATATATATATATAATTATATATATGTAGGCCACATATTTGACAACAGCTATAAAATTTCAGATACTATATGTATATATGTATATATATACATATATAGACATTTATACATATACATATATAGACACACACATATATAGTATCTGAAATCTTATAGCAGTCGTAAAATATATAAAATATATAGTGCTGTGTACAGCTCCGTTGAAGAAGCAGCTAAATGAACGACGACTCGAATGTGAGTTTCTTAACCAGATAGACTTCGTTTTCATCGTTACACAGAGCAACGTACGATATTTGTAAGTTGAATTCATAATAATCCATTTCAGAGATGTTTATAAATATGTCACGCAGTAGCTGCGTCTAGTTTCCCAGTTACAACCGGTCCTTTTGCTATTGTGGCGCCCCCTGGTGAAAATGAGTTTGACAGCGCTATTATCGATAATAACCATTGTCAAAAATTTTAAAGAGCAAGAAAATCAAAAATCTGATCAAGTTGCCCTTGATCAAGACGTCGCATACAAGAGCCAGCCACTTCATATTACGCATAGAGCAACTATGAGCAATTTTCTTTAGGGACTTTTACTGATGCCAAGCATTGGTTCGCGATTGTTGATCGATGCTAATTTACTACATTTTTCTGGAAAAGCGATCCATCAATTCTTTTATGTGAAACCAATCTTATCGAGCATTTGGTATATTTTTTCCCATATTTGCCAAAATAATATATATATACATACATACTGTATATTATACATATACATATATTAAGTATTTATTTATTTTGGAAGTTGTTGGACTGAGGAGTGAATGCAGTTTGTGCAAATTGTTTTACTTGTGATAACAATATAAATATTGAGCTGTGTAACACCTTTTATTCGGGAATCTGGTCAAATAAAAAATAAAGTAGGAACAGTAGGACAAGTCGTGCAGTACACATACACACAAAGGTATATTAGCAACCACCGGGTCACCTCGACCCAATGGGCAACAAGTCTCGTAATTTAGAGAAACTGCCAAATGATACATGTACAGAAAAAAAGAGGCGCCGGAAATAAGACATTCGAAATCAGTTTATTTATGCTAATAGCTAACACAGGCTGGGAATAAAAGTGAAAGATTAGCGGAAGCAATAGCTGACAAGGAAGCCTTTACTTAAGAAAATTTTCTTCGAGGAGAATGTCATTAAACATCAACCGATTGTTTGTTTGTTTGTTTTCCTTCCCCCAACACAAGCCAGCATTGTTTTTCCCCCTGGCAACCGATGTGACGCAATCACAACGTCACATGCAAGAGGCCAAAGAGCAGAGGGAAACAAACACAATAGGTGCAGCAGAATCTTCAGACCTTCGAACCACCTACATTTTCCGCACACCAAAAAGGCAGAGGATGGCAGACGTGCTGGGAACCGTTTTGACCGGTAATTGACCTTAGGTGGTGGGCTTAGCGGCGGCAAGTTCAACTCTGTCCGTTAACTATTTTGGCCTTTTTTCCCTCGTCTGCCATCGCTTCACCTTTTCTCTTTCTCAGGCCCTTCATCTTGCGCGTTTGCAGCTTGGTCAGATCCTGTGGCTGCATGTGCACTCGGCCAAACTTTGTGCCAAAGACGTCGTGGGAAATGTTCTTCTTTTTCTTGGGCTGAAAGAGGGTAGAATGACAATTCACAGAAATGACACCAAAGCTTTATATCACAATGAATTTTTTTTTTTATGAGTAGAAAACTATATACACCAAAGCTTTATATCACAATGCATTTTTTTTTTTTTTTATGAGTAGAAAACTATACAGCTAAAAATTAGATTTATATAATATGCATTTTTTTTAAATCTCTTATTAGTGTACCATCTTCACATATCATATGAAAATGGTTATGCTCCTGTCTGAACTCAAAGTATCCCCAGGATTTTTCAAATTAATAATAATTAAAAATTTTTTTTTTTTTTTAATTTAAAAACATCATTGATGCCATTTAAATGGGGTGTCAAACTCATTTTGTTTCATGGGCCACATACGGCCTGATTAGATGTCAAGTGGGCCGGACCAGTTACAATCATAACATAATTACCTATATATAACCATAAGTCCATGTTTTTCTTTTTTTCTTGTAAATAAGTAAAGCTTTATTCAAAAACTAAGGCAGATTCTGACCCACGGGCCTTATGTTTGTCACCCCTAGTTTAACCCATCACCATAGCGGACAGGGAAAAAAATCAAGTGCCCATGGACTCAAACCCGCAAGTCCATTTCCTTAACCATCAAGCCACCGTTAATAATAAAAAAAGTTGGAAAAAAAAATTCGGAATTGTCAAAAATCGGTTTCGGCAAGTCACACTTGCAAAAATGTCTCTGTATTACAAAAAACTCTATAGCAAGGTTCTGGTGAAGAACTGTGAGAAGTTCTTAAAAAAAAAAGAGATTGTTTAACAAGCATACTGGCAAATCGGGAATCATTTTGAATTCAAACTCAACACTGAAAGGTTGTTTTTCTCGTCCTGAATATTTTTTTTATGGGACTGACATCAGTTTATGGTTTTATCCGCAGACCTAGCCTTTTAAAAGTCTCTCTACCTCCAAGGTGGTTTCATTGTTAATATTACCATAATTACCAATATTATTGGTTTGCAGAACTGCATTTGATGATATCAGAGCTCGCGGCTCCCCCATGCCCTACGACTGAATGGATGCCAGTGCACGGTTGAGCACTCGTAAGATAGATATTTCCTCGTACCACGAGCAAAATTTGCAATTGTTGCGACTCGTAACAATACTCGTATTTCCGGGAAAGCTCGTAATCTTAGGGGTCCACTGTACAAGTCGCAAACCCAGGCAAAGGATGGATGGATATTTTAGGATTCACCTCCCATACTTAATGGCTCTAACTTTAATTTTGTTAATGCTTACTTTAAGGGCCTTGGGTTGTTTATGGGCCAGCTTGTACAAGTCATCGGAAGCAAGATGGGTTCTTCTTAAGACGAGGTCCAAGGATGGACCTATCTCCTCCAGCTCTATCCTTGGTGTCCTACAGCCAGACATCTTTAGTAAACACCTGCAAGTTCACATTAGAGGGGGGGAAAAAAACGTTAGCGTGGCGAATAAGCAACTAAGGTTAGCTTCTTTTGTTTTAACAAAGTACAAATTAAAAAAAATATAATTATAACCAACAGTACAAGTAGAGACTAAAATGTATATACAATTTTGTTATGTATTAACTAGCTGTTACACAAGCTACACACTGCCCTTAAGACTCATATTTTAATCTAATGGCAAATTATGAGGTTCTTGAACTTACAAAAAAAAAATTTTAAATCTTAAGTACAGGACACATTGGGGCTCTTATAATTTGTGTATAAACTCGTGAGTGCGACTCGGAGGAATCGACTCTGCTATTGCACATTCAGTTTGTGGGATATCCGATTTCGACTAATGATGACACGCCGTCTTACGGCCCAGTCAGTTGACCTTGGCGTTGGCCATGCGGTGTTTGAAAGATTTGTTTTCCTGATATCATATATAAAAAAGAAAAGAAAAAAAAAAAGAAGAAGCCCTATTCCAAAAGCACTACCTGTAGCTGCGCATGTAGATCTTTCCATCCAGGGCAGTGAAGTGCAGTACGTGTTCCAAACCAGCCAGACGGACCGCAGACACAGTTGGGCCTCTAAAGAAGTCTGACAGTGGATAATGGTGAAGAGCGTAGTACACATGTGATCTACTGCAGTAAAGCCATTTTGAAGCCATTGTGACTCTGTGTATTTACCTATCAGTAGGCTTTTTAGGCGTTTGTATTCATTATCCGTGTTAAAAGAGTCTCCGGCAAACACAAGCATGGGTTTGGTTCCTTCAGGGCAAGTTTTCCCCTATAATTAAAAACAAACAAACTTAAACAAAAATTTAACTTCAGTTAAAGTTGTTAGTTTTTGTCACAAACGTATGTATATCTATACATATATACACATACATATACACACATACAGATATACATATAAATACATACATAACGGTGCAATGTGATTTGGGTGGCGACTGCTGCCCCCGCGACCCGGTAACGGATAAGCGGATGAAAATGGATGGATGGATGGATACATACATATACATATATGTACACATACACATATAAACATACACACACACAAAAACATACACACATATACACATACACACATATATACATATACACATACATATATACATATATACATAAATATGTATATACATATATACATTTTTACATATATACGTATATACATACATACATACATACATATATACACATGTACATACACATACTGTATATACATATATACGTATATACATATATATACATATATACACATACTGTATATACGTATATACATACATATAAACACATACGTATATATACAAATATACACATGTATATATACACATACGTATACACATATATATATATTCACATACGTATATACACAGTGAGGTCAATAAGTATTTGATCACCGTGTGATTTTGCAAGTTCGCCCACTAAGAAATCATGGAGGGGTCTGACATTTTCATCGTAGGTGCATTTCTACTGTGAGAGACAGAATCTAAAAATAAAGTCCAGAAATTATATCCTACGATTTTTCAACAATATCTTTGTACATCACTGTATATCAAATAAGTATTTGATCACTTGCTTATCAGCCAAATTTCTGACCCTCAAAGACCTGTTATTCTGCTTTTAAATAGTCCAACTGCACTCTGCTCATGATTCTAATTTCGTAACACCTGTTTGAGGTTGTTAGCTTTCACAGCTGCGACCACAGTTTCCAAGGCTACTATCAGTAATACAGCAACACGTCATGGTTTAAAATCACGCGTCGTGCGGAAGGTTCCCCTGCTTAAGTCAGCCCATGTCAACGCCCGTCTGAATGAAGTTTGCCAGTGACCATCTGGATGATCCACAGGAGTCATGGAGGAAAGTCGTGGTCAGATAAGACCAAAATGGAACTTTTTTTTTTTTAAGTCTTAACTCCATCCGCCGTGTTTGGAGGAAGAAGAAGGATGAGTATCATCCCAATAATACCATACCTACGGTGAAGTATGGGGGTGGAAGCATCATGCACTGGGGGTGTTTTTCTGCAAAGGGGATAGGACGACTGCAATACTTATTGATCTCACTGTATACATATACCGTATTTTGACAACAACAGCGCCCTCCAGTGTCCAACTTAGGTCACTACCATTTTCCACAAATCTCCGTCTCCCTATTGATCTGTGACGATCGCTGACTGTTTTGAACAACATTGCTAATGTATTCATTTTTATATCCCTTCACTGGGTTCTTTATATTCCAAAATTATTTTATTTCCAATGTCGAGCCATACAGTCTCGCAACTGCACAAAAATTCCGACAGGAGTTTCCAGCTCATTGATTCCATGGTGTTTTAAGGCTGCCCAATTACGGGATGAATGATAATCATTATTTGTGGCATATTCAAATCACAATTTAAACGCAATTTAAATATTGTCAAAAAAAGCAAACCTGATGAAAAAAAATTTATGAAAACACTCTTAACTGTTAAAGTAGCCAGATAACGTTCACTAAGAAACAAGCTGTTATGTTATGTTTTTGAACCTGGATATACCGCGCTAGCACACCAGACAATACCGCATGAGCAATGCGCACAGTGTGAGCGACTATTATTATTCAATACTATTATATAGACTATATTATAGAGTATTATTTACTATTATTATGGGATTTCGGGCAGTTCTTTTTCTTTAGCCTAATCTTTTAGCCTCTAGCTTTTAGTTTAGCTTTATTTTTCAGTTATTTATTTTATTTTGGCACTTGTCTTGATGTGGTTTGTTTAATACTTTTTTTTTTTCTTAAAGTGGACTGTGTGAGGACACGGCGAAATGCAACTTGCGAAATGCGAAATGATGGTGTCTGAATTCTTTTTCTTTCGGCTTTGTCCCTTTTTTTTTTCCAGGGGTTGCCACAGGAAATCATTGACTTCCATCTCTCCCTGTTCTCTGTATCTCCTACTCCTGACTCCAACTATCTGCATGTCCTCCCTCACTGCATCCATATATCTCCTCTTTGGCCTTCCTCTCTTTCTCCTACCTGGTAGCTCCATCTCCAACATTCTTCTACCGATGTATCCACTGTCCCTCCTCTGCACATGTCCAAACCATCTCAATCTGGCTTCTCTAGCTTTTTCTCCAAACCTTCCTGTCTGTGTTGTCCCTCTAATGACCTCATTCCTAATCCTGTCCATTCTTGTCACTCCTAAAGAGAATCTTAGCATCTTTAACTCTGTCACCTCCAGCTCCGCCTCCTGTCTTCTGCCTATTGCTACTGTCTCTAAACCATACATCATGGCTGGTCTCACCACCGTCCTGTAAACCTTTCCCTTCACCTTAGCTGACACTCTTCTGTCACAGATCACTCCTGACACTTTTCTCCAGCTGTTCAATCCTGCCTGTACTCTATTCTTCACCTCTCTTCCACAGTCTCCGCTGCTCTGAACAGTTGATCCTAAGTACCTAAACTCCTGCACCTTCACCACCTCTGCTCCTTGTAGCCTCACTATTTCACTGTTCTGCCTTTCGTTTACACACATGTACTCTGTCTTGCTGCGACTGACCTTCATTCCTCTTCTTTCTAGTGCAAACCTCCACCTCTCTAGGTTCTCTTCTAGCTGCTGCCTACTCTCACTACAGATCACAATGTCATCTGCAAACATCATAGTCCATGGGGACTCCTGTCTGACCTCATCTGTCAATCTGTCCATCACCACAGCAAACAAGAAGGGGCTCAGGGCCGATCCTTGATGTAGTCCCACCTCCACTTTGAAGTCTTCTGTCCTCCCAACAGCGCACCTCACTACTGTTGTACTATTCTCATACATGTCCTGCACCAAACTAACATACTTCTCTGCCACTCCTGACTTCCTCATACAAAACCACAATTCCTCCCTTGGCACTTTGTCATATGCCTTTTCTAGATCTACAAATACACAATGCAGCTCCTTCTGACCTTCCCTGTACTTCTCCATCAACATCCTCAAGGCAAATATTGCATCTGTGGTACTCTTCCTAGGCATGAAACCATACTGTTGTTCACAAATCTCCACTTCCTGCCTCAACCTAGCTTCAACTACTCTTTCCTAAATCTTCATTGTATGGCTCATCAACTTTATCCCTCTGTAGTTGTTACAACTCTGTGCATCACCCTTCTTATGAATTGGCACCAGAACACTTTTTCTCCACTCATCAGGCATCTTGCCAGTCTCTAAAATTCTGTTAAACAAACCAGTCAGGAAATTTACTGCCACTTCTCCTAAACACTTCCATACTTCCACTGGTATGTCATCAGGACCAACTGACTTTCCACTCTTCATCCTCTTCAGGGCTTTTCTAACTTCATCCTTTCTAACCTGATCTACCTTCTTCCTACTAGTCTCTGGCTCCTCGTTTCTACTTTCCCTTTCATTTTCCTCATTTAACAACTCCTCAAAGTATTCCTTCCATCTTCTCAGCACACTTTCCTCACTTGTGATCACATTCCCCTCTCTGTCCTTAATCAACCTCACCTGCTGCACATCCTTCCCAGCTTGATTTCTCTGTCTCGCCAATCTATACAACTCCTTTTCTCCTTCCTTTGTTTCCAAACTCTCATACAACTCCTCATATGCCTTTTGTTTGGCCTTGGCCACTTCCCTCTTCACCTCCCTTGTCCTCTCTTTGTACTCCAGTCTGTTCTCTTCTGTTCTGTCACTGTCCCATCTCTTCTTCGCTAATCTCTTTCTCTGCACACTCTCCTGGATCTCCTCATTCCACCACCAGGTCTCTTTGTCCTCCTTTCTCTGCCCAGAGGACATACCTAGCACCTTCCTACCTGTCTCCCTCATCACTGCAGCTGTAGTCTCCCAATCATCTGGGAATATCTCAACACTACCCAGAACTGCCCTTACTTCCTTCCTGAAGTCTTCACAACATGTCTCTTTCCTTAGTTTCCACCACTTGATCTTCTGCTCTGTCTTCACTCTCTTCCTTTTTGTCACCTCCATCGTCATTTTACACACTACCATCCGATGTTGTTTGGCTACACTCTCACCTGCCACCACCTTACAGTCTCTAATCTCCCTCAGATTACATCTTCTACATAGAATATAATCTATCTGTGTGGACCTGCCTCCACTCTTGTAAGTCACCCTATGTTCCTCTTTCTTTTGGAAATATGTGTTTACCACAGCCATTTCCATTCTCTTTGCAAAATCTACCACTGCCTGTCCTTCTACGTTTCTCTCCCTAACACCAAACCTGCCTATCACTTCCTCATCTCCTCTGTTCCCTTCCCCTACATGACCATTTAGGTCTGCTCCAATCACCACTCTCTCTCTCCTGGGGATACTCTCTACCATCCAATCTAGCTCCTTCCAGAACTTCTCCTTTTCTTCCAACTCACAGCCCACCTGTGGGGCATAACCACTAACAACATTACTCATCCCTCCTTCTATTTCTACCTTCACACACATCAACCTGTCTGACTCTCTTTTCACCTCTACCTCATTTCTTACATGTTCTTTCTTTAGGATGGTGTCTGAATTATTGTAACAAAAACAAATATTATGACAAAAACAATTATCTAGATCAAGCATGGGCAAACTAAGGCCCGGGGGCCGGATGCGGCCTGTTTGGCTTATTAATCCGGCCAACCAAACCTGTCCAAATTATACATTTTTTTTAAATATTATCATTATATTTCTGCATTTTCCCTGCAATGCCCACATTTCCGCATTTAATGACATAGAAAATGCTAAAAGCATTTTAGCCTTTATGCATGATTTTTACATACCGCACGGGCACCTAAGGCAGTCCATGGGGGCTGCATAATGTTGGTGAGCCCCGATTTAGGCAGACTAGGCTGCCTCCCCGCCCCATTTAACCGCAATCAGCGGGAACCATTTATGTTGCTGGCGTCGTCGTGCAGAAATGCGTTCCAAGTAACACAAATGCAAAGACGACAAAAGGGGAACTTTACCTTTACATCGCTTAGTGACATGTACTTTTCGATCCCGAGTTCAATCATATCAAGGACGTGGAAGTCAAAGAGACGACCTGCAAACAAGGAAAAAAACAACGGATCGTAATAATTGTGGCTGCAGACCACAAGTTAGATATGAGTAAATTATGAGTAAGGTTAAAGAGAATTTACCGAAGATAAGGTTGTTGGGTCTTTTCTTGTTGTGAGAGCCGAACAGAAACAGAGAGCAGTCGGTCTTCTTGGAGAAAAACTCCTGAAGTAGAAAATAGCAAAATAATGATAACATAAAAGATTCAAGCCCACTGGTATTTACCGAAATTTCTAAACTATTGAGCGCACCTGAATATAAGTCGCATCCACTAAATTTAAAAAATACGTGTACATATATAGGCCGCACTTCTTTATAAGCCGCAGGGGTCCACGTTACAAAATGGGATATTTAAACAGAACTTTTTTTTTTCCACTTTTACTTAAATGAATGCTTTTTTCCGAACAGTTCCTGTAACACGGCTGGTTACACGTTAGCTCTTTTCTGCTTCGGCGCCCCGATTGTAGTTGGAATGCACAGGTGAGACTTAGTGATCTGCTCTAGGGCTGAAGCTAACATTAGCTCCGGGGCTAACTTCTTTCACTACTATTATAACACATGGTATCCTACCAGAAAAGTCATAGATCGCTAGCGGTATGAACTTTGTTGGTCTGTAAAAATCCATAAATCATCATTGTTTAAGCCGCAGGGTTCAAAATGTTTGAAAAAAGTAATGGCTTATAGTGCGTCTGACTGATGCTAACTTTATTGCCATAATAACATTTAAATGGAAATACCATTTTACACAAAACGACAAAAGGTTTTGTTAGACCACACATACCATCGATGTTGAGTCTTCAAATGGCCGCGTTATGTTCTTCCTGAAAGAAAAGTCCAGTGATTAGATTCCGTCTGTGAAATCGCTAAATGCATTTTACAAATGTTCTGCAAAATGTTTGCTGACAATTAGAACAATCTTAACAATCTGAAGAAACTTTGTTATCAAATGGCTGTCACGTTTACACAGAGTGACCCAAAGTTCAGGAGTTCCATTAACTCCTTAACATTAACTCAGGCATTGGCAGAGAAAAATTCAGCAAAAACAAACAAAAATTTTTTTTTAAAAATAGTCAAAGCATTGTCCCTGTAAACCAGTACTTCTCAAATAATGGGGTGAGCCCCCCTGGGGGGTAAAGTGCCGGGGGGGAGGGGGGTGGGCATGAAGAGCTTCCAGTGGAATATGGCACGCTGGATACAAGTAATGCTTGACCGATAACAAGCCTCCAGCCACTAGGTGGCAGCAACTCATACAGTGGATTGTACAGATAAAAATATACAAGTCGTCAGGGTCTCAATAGTATTTCAATTCGCGGGGGTGTGGGTTGGGGGTCTCAAAGGGAAGGCATGACAGAAAATTATTGAGAACCATTGCTGTAGCCGAGGTAGTTTTTTTTTTTCCTCTACCTAATGACCTTAAATCTTTGTTGAAACTCTAACCAACCTACTCTCGGCAACTTTTGGAATGAACAGCAGAAACTTACTTTTTGTACAGCAAAGCGGTAGGTTTCTTAAGGGAGTACTGCAAGAAAGAAGACAACTGTTACTCTAGAGAAAAAAAAACACAGCGGCAAACTACACTTTCACACATATATATATATATATATAAAAAAATAAAACCACTCACTATATTTTTCAAGGTCTGTGACACAACCTGACTGGTGTTTCCTCCTTTCATTATCATTGCGTTCTTAACATTCTCTGTCAACTTTGGTGCTCTGCTTTCCAAGAAACGCTTAGATTGCCTCGTCTTTGGTTTTCTGGGGAGGGAAGGAAGGAAGGAAGGAAGGAAGGAAGGACAGACAGATAGTCAGACAAACAGGCTTGCTGATTATATACTAGGGATGAACTGAATTTTCAGCTCAACACCTAAAGTGCGTTTTCGGGTTTCGGCCGAAAGACTCAACCACACGGCCGAAACAGGAAGCAAACACTGTTGCCAGCACGGGCTTGTGCGAAACTATCAACATGTCTGCGGTATTTCAATACATCTGAGAAAGACCCAGGGATAGCGATTTGCGAAACGTGTAATGCTAAAATGCACTTCGGCGCAACTGCATTCGATCCGCGTTATAACGATCATTACTTGGATGTGGGAATAAAGCAGCGCGCACGAGAAATGATCCAGGCAGTGATGGACGCGGAGAACCCGCTTGGAGATGGAGAGGCTCACATCGCAGGAGAAGGAGATCAGTGTGGGAGATGAGGGGCGGGGACCCTCGTTGTCCGATACTGTATGTTCTCTGATATCCTGCGAGAGAGTGCCTCAAATAATAATAATAATAATAGGTAGGCTATTCTGTTCTGACTTTTTATGCGACAGTTCACCAGTTTTATGTCTCTGCTTTTGAAAACAAATTGTTTTAACTTTTATTCATTTATTAATAATTTATGCAATCACAGTGCTTTGATTTTATTGAGGTTTAGCAATGGTGCTAAACATTTGCATAATTTCTTTGGTGTTGGGCCTTGGTTTCCTCACATTCGGTTTTCCGTTTCGGCCGAGAATTTTAATTTCGGTGCGTCACTATTTCATACAAATCTCAACTGTGTAATAGCGCTCTTATTATTATAGATTACTTTGTCCAAATGTATCCAACTTTCAAGAAAGCATTGGTTGCTGTTGCTAAGATGATAGGTCAAGATCAGAGGTTAGCAACCTGTGGATCCTAAAGGCTCCAGGCTAAATTTGGAAAACAACATGAAGGAAAGGGAAAGGTAAACACATCACACTAATATTTTAGGTTGCAATATTTAAAATTGCACACCATGCCCTGTTGCCATCATTTAAATTGTCTAATTATTTTTTAGGCTCTAGATTAAAATGCCTCAAAAATAATTCTACAATTTCACTGATACAGGGGAAAGGTAGAAGTATAACGATAGTATAAATAAATTATATCATTTGGAAAACTTTGGCGGGCCGGATTAAAAAGCCGAGCGGTCCCAATCCGGTCCCCGGGCCTTAGTTTGCCCATGCGTACTCTAGATAGCCTAAAACCTAAACCAGGTAGGACTTGAAATAAATAATAATAAAATTGAAATAAAAACTGAATCGAGCTGGATGGTTATAATTTTAGGTTAGCAATTTGGATGATTAGAGAAATACGGAAACGAGATACGTCACTTTCAGTTACTTTAGAACGTAGTACCGGAACGTTTATAAAACGTTATCACAAAAACCAGCGTAACGACGCGTGTGAATTCTTTATTTTAGGTATCTTAAGTGGCGTTTAAAACACGTGTCAAATTGAACCTACTTTATCTATCTCTTTAATCAGTCCCTCCTATGATAGCAGCAAGACAAGTCGCCAAAAGACTTTGTACTAGTCAAATGGAAATTAGGTGAAAAAAAATACTTACACGACACCGTCCATTTGTGTAGGTTTTTTGCTTTATTTCCTCGTCAACGGGCAATGTTGCTAATGCTACTTTTCCCCACGTGAAGCTACAGCACTGGACTGGAGGACAACAAAATGTTCTTCTTTGTCTATCTTCAACAGTGATTCATTTCCTGTTGCCAGTTCGAATGCGCCATCTGGCGACGGAATCGCACCATGACCGACACCACATTCGCAGACTACAGGAAATGGAGGGCTGGAATCTGCAAGCTTTTTTTCGATATCCATGCAGGGCGGCTGAGCTTACTATCGCAAAAAACAAAACAAAAACAAAAACAAAAAAAACTGTATTTAAAACCCCAAATAAAAAAAATCTAAAATATTTTTTTTACGGCGCCATTTGTAAAGTGGCTTATGCTGGAAATTATAGCAACATTTTGTTACATTTGGTCTCAAAAACATTTTTCAAAATTGAGTGCAATTCACTTTTTAGTACCTTTACAACAATATTTGTTAACATAAATATATATTAAACTGTAAAATCTAAATTTCAAATGTTAAATCTAAATATTTCGCGTGAATCTTCGATGACCTCACCTGGAGAACCAACACTTCCTGTCTGATCAGGAAAGCACACCAGCGCCCCCCCCCCACTTCCACAGGAGACTCAACATAAATACATAGTAACAGGAACACCTTGACGCATTTATGCTAATGTCAACAGAGAAAGAGACCATGATGACTTTAGTGCAACGTTGTGTTCACAGAGTCACAGAGACCAGTGTATTTGTATATGTGTGTATATGTATAACTAATGTACTGTGTTTAAATATATTACTCCTATATAATATTATGTATGTATAGCAAGCCCTTGTGATAAAGGCTGCATAAATATAGGTATATGTGTATATATCTATACATATATTTATATATGTATATATGTATATATATATATGTGTGTGTGTAAATATATCCCTTTCATGCATGACGGTCACTACAGTGGACAGCTATTAAAATGTCATTTTCTATGATAAGAATAGGTTTTGATGGCAGTGTTGCATATAAGCCTCTACAGTGGATGCCTGAGAATCACCCAACACTGCCATACAGCGGTCAGCCTTTGCAACTGCAGAATAATTTGGTCAACATTCAAAAAGAAAATTTGGTGTATAAAAACAGAAACAAATCAGTTCTTATTTTTATGTCTAAAAACACATAAAAACACTTAGTAACATTTTTTTTAACTCAGTATATCATGGGTCGTGCATCAAAGGGATATGTATATATACTGTATACATATTATATATTAAATGAGTATTTATTATATATATGTATATATATATATATATACATAGATTTAGTAATAATTGAGATTGCCATCTACAACACCACACACAGCAACAATAACTACCTACTAATCTACTGATAATACTAACACTAATCTATCTATCTACTACTTACCTACTAATCTACTAACATCCACTGTTCAGGTTTCAGGTTGTGTGTTTTTACTGTTGTTTTGGTGCCGTACTGACACCGGAGCCTTCATTTCCCTGAGGGAACTCCCGAGAGATTAATACAGTTCTATCTATCTACTTATCGAATGTTTGCCGATGATGTTATAAGTCTGTACACCTTTGAAGGTTAATCTGTTTTTCATATATACGTGTGTGTGTGTTGTGTTTAATATTATTAGATCGTCCTTATACTGCAAATAAAGTATTTGCATTTAAAATGATAGTTCCACTTGTGCGATCCTGCGAATGGATAAAAAGCCTCTCCGAACCAAAGAAGGCTTAAGTCGCAATTGTAGTGAATTATTTTAACTATTATATTAATAATAATAATATATAAATAATAATATTTTTTTATATTCACAAACCAGTAAATAATTTTAAAAATTATATTATATATACATATAAAGGTTGAGTGAGGGTCAATTAGTGCTATCCATATTATGTACAGATATACATATATATATACAATAAAATTTGGTCAGGGCTGTTCTAATGATAAATTCAGTGATACCTTTCTTTTTCCAGCCACATATGTCACCAGTTCTCAGTTAAAATTCCCAATAATATTTGGTCTATTTTTTTATGTACTGCATGTTTAGCGGCTTGCATGGTCCGTGAAATTCGTTTGAGGAATTGTGTGTGTGTATATATATATATATATATATATTCAAATAGACAATAAATATGCAACGGTTGCACCCAAGAGTTTTTATTTAAGCATCAAGTCTCATAGCAACGGTATATTAAACACTTCTTGGATCATCCATAAAAACACTATGGAATTAGAACGGCAACATTTTCCTACAACCTGCAAGCCCCACCAATCCAAAAAAAAAAAAGAGTCCAGATCTGGTATAATGGTCTTTACCGTTTAAGGTGTTAGTGTAATTTAGTGAAAAAAAAAAAAAGAAGCAAGGAGACATTCTTGAGAGAACAGAGATTGGTCCCTGGGAAAAGGGATTTAACAACTTAAATCCTGGACAAAAAAACCCCCAAAGAAAACAGTACTTGTCCCTATATTAAGTCTTACTGCAGCATCAGTTAAAAAAAAAAAATAATTGTAGTGCATTATTGTTAGGATAAATGTTAGCATTTATGCAGTACTGCAGAAACTGAAAACCATTTAGCTCCAACAGCTTCTCAAGGGGTCGAGAAACGTTAACGTTACATTCAATTTGAAAAAAAACCAAAAACCTTGTGAAGTTGGAGTCATTGTAAAGCACTGTGAAACAATAAATTTGTACTTGTCAAATGCCAATAAAATATTCTGAAATATCTATTTCTATGTAGGTACTTCAATTTCTTGGCATTCACTTTTGTATATTTCAACAAAAACTTGAAAAAAAAAGTGCAAGGTAACCTTACATATAAAAAAGAACTTTTCGGGAGCATGTTAAAGGAGGGGGACAATGCTGACGGGGACGGGAGGGGGGGACTTGCAGGAAGGGTCTGCAGAACTGGGCATAGGTGAACAACCTTATACAGTGCGTGTTTAATTCCTCTATATGTGCTTCACAGATCGAAAAAAGAGTGCGTTAGACTTCAAAAACAGGAAAGAACTTTCATGCAAGGAGTCTAGGAAACGAATGCTACGATGCAAACAACGCCACCTACGGTCAGCAACGGCATTACCATTGGGTGGTTCTGAACAAAGACGGTAGCAGACGAGTGAGGGGAGGGGAAGCCGAGGAGCACCGTGGACAGTAAGTGCTCTAGAGTTGAATGAAACTTCTCTTTCGTTCCTCCGTCTCTAGCCTCGACCCTCACTTATGCTGGTTCTGCTGCCACTTCTTGGCATAACTTGTAAAGACAAAATTGTAATCGTTGAACTGAGCCAACTGGCGGTCAAGGCGCTTGTAGCCTTCAACTTTCTGGGCCGAAGCGAAAACCGAGCGGCATTTAGAGCTCTGCGTTGGAGGCAGAAAATCGGAGATTAGAAATACAGTCGGCAAACAATGCGGAATCCGTTAATCTGAGAGGCGTCATCCTTCCCGACGTACCTGATTGACAAATAGGGTGGTCACAAACTTTCCGGGCTTGAACACATCCACCACCTTCCTTACCAGATCATCGTATGATGTTGCAGAGAGGTTGGTTTCAAAGCTCACATAAGAAAAATCTGGCTCGGGGGTTATATGGATGGTCCAGTAGGTTCCCTACAAGACCGGGTCACAGTCAGAAACGTAAGCAACTCGGAAGAAACTTGATGTTAAGTTTATGGAATCGCACACCCCTAATAATGCAATTATTTTTGTGACTTCAATTTGTAGACGAACCACACATTAAATATATGATCAAACAATGTTGTTTAAAAGCAGCACATTACGGTGTCAAACAGCAATGGGTAAGCTTCCAAAGTATGCGTTCATGCCCAAAATAAAAGTATAATAGAAGAACCTTTTTTTTCCATATACTTGGAAATCAGAACTGAACATGTCAAAAACTCAACATTTTAAGATCACCAAACGCATAAGTTGTAAATGTTTTGGTTAACTATTTTTAGAGCATTGAAAACACGAGACAAGTTTTAGAAGTGAAAAAAAAAAAAAAAAAAAATACTCACGTCAGTTTTCATTCCGTTCATTGAGTATCCACAAGGGTTGAACATTGTTGCGTCGATCACTGAACCTGGTATCAGGTCACTAATTCCACTCATCTTAAAACAAAAAAAGGGAACAAAAACCTTTTTAAATACACTCGATACATTTTGAGATAGATTAATTAGTGCTGACGAACAGGTACTTTTTTTTTTTTAACCACTGGGTAGTTGTAGCTTAGTCATCATGATGAATCATTCAAGTAGTCATAGTTAAATTCTTGGCGGTTTGGCCCAGAGGCAATGTCTCTGTCATTGGTGTGGAACTCCAGGGTTCACCTCCTGGGCAAGTTCGAATCCCGGTTAGGGCGGTTGGTACCTTCCAGTGGACTCACCACCCGCAGGAAGGCTTGGGGGGTTGGTACGGTGCAATGTGATTTGGGTGGCGTCTACCGCCCCCGCGACCCGGTTAACGGATAAGTGGATGAAAATGAATGGATGGATGGATAGTTAAATTTGACGCTTCATCATTTCCAGACTATAAGCCGCTACGTTGACGCTTTGAACCCTGCGGCTTAAACAATGATGCGGCTAATTTACGTATTTTACGGGCTAACAAAGTTCATACCGCTGGCGATTAATGACTTTTCTGGTAGGCTATTGTGTGTTATACTAGTAGTGTATGTCTGTCTGTGAATGGCTGTGTGCGTATTTATGCATGGGGCACGCGCAAGAGAGAGCGCTAGCGAAACTTGAGAGCAGTTTGAGCCATGTCACGTTGAAGCGTGAGTTGGTTATACAGGAGCTGTTAATAAAGACCCCAACTTCCCTGCTTCTGTTTACCTCTGCTGCGGACAAGCACAAAGTGAAGGGAGTTAGCCCCGGAGCTAATGTTAGCTTCAGCTCTGGAGCAGATCGCTAAGTCTCCCCTGTGCCTTCCAACTACGGTCGGGGCACCGAAACAGAAAAGAGCTAACTAATTGGAAGTAAACAAAGAACCTGTGTAAATATCCCATGTTTCAACGAGGACGACTGCGGCTTAAAGAGAAGTGCAGCTTGTAGAGTAAATATACAATTTTTTTTTTCTTCTTAAATATAGTGGGTGCGGCTTATATTCAGGTGCGCTCAATAGTCCAGAAATGTTGTTCAATGTACATAATTTGTACATAAAAGTTGGTGACTCTAGGCTAGCAATTGGGTCCTTTCACAGTTGCATTCTGGCTACTCACACGAGTGACTTCACTTGCAGAAACACCATCTTTCATATAGAACTGGTCCATAATTACTGGATCAAGGTCACTCATCAGAACTTCCAGTGTCTGATCTGCATGCTTGTTTTCCCAGAACTCGGGTAGGTCCAGGGTAAACAGGTACCTGCAGGTAACATCAAGATGAGATTTTCCTCAAGTACAATTAGCCGACAGTGTACAACCAAGAAATGCTCCACTATTTTTGGGTTACATTGCTGATGTGTCAGGTGTGACTTTTTCTGTGATAGTAATATCAAAATAAAAATTAAAAAAAAAAAAAAAAGTATCTTAATATAAAGTGCCTACCAGCAGTCAGAGTTTAGGCGTCCCATACAGTAGGCTGCCCCATCTGAAAGAGGGAAAATGGTTTTTTTGGTTAATAAATCATGCATTCCACAAGATTACCCTGGCATTGGCAAACTAAGGCCCAGGGGCCAGATGCCTGTTCAGCTTTTTAATCCGGCCCACCAAATTCTCCCAAATTATATAATTAATTTACACTGACTGGCCAAAAAAAAAAAGTCGCCACCAAAAAAAAAAAAAAAAAAAAAAAGGCCACACCCCCCAAA